GGCAGAATATGTTCGCTTTTATTATCCTGGTGCCTGCATTAGATTACTTAGATGAAAAACACCTACCAGCCGCCGCGGCGAACCGCGAGGAGGCGACCCGGCCAGAGGCTGCTGTTGAATGGGATCCTACTGACAGAGCACCGCTGGTATGTGGGGGTCTGAGCGGCTCCGACAGAAATAATATTGGAAGGCAGGATGGTAATCTGGATGAACTGACTGCACTGATTAAGTTTTTAGGTGGATTTTCTCACTTAAAAACATATTAAAATTACTTTATTCCCACTGATCACAGCAAATATGGCTGCAAGGCAGAGAAAGGATAGTGAAGCTCCGCCCAACGCGCGGCAGACACACTTTTGCACCGTGCAGCTGAATGTTTCCTGTTATTTTTTTTTTTCTGGGCTTATTGAAAATCTGAACTGTTTAATAAATACTGTTCCATTATTGTTGCAAAAACACTATTTCTGAATTAAAATCCAGAAATAAAACTTTCACTAACTTTTTGATTAAAGGAAAGGGTTTTAGGAGGAACGTTTCCATTTTCTCTGATTTGATTGAATTGTTTCCAATTTTCTTTATATTTTACTTTTTAAATAAACAGTTTTTGATTTTAACTTTTCTTTTACATATTTAATATATTCAAAGTATTTATTTTAAATGTCTTTTTTTCAGATTTAGTTTGTAATACTTGCATTCTTTTCTTCATATTGTGTTTCACAGATTACATTCTCTTCACTTAAAGCTGAATACAAAAGCCTCCAGATCAACAGAAATGAATCTTCGCTCCTCACTTCAGAAGAAAGCCGGAGGAATGAAGAGAATGTTATTTGGAAAATGCTATTTTTTTAATAAAATACAGTTTGTAAAACTCAGTCTGAAAACAGACATTTGAAAAAAAAAAATCTGTAAAACATATTTTTGATTATAAAAACCATTGAAAAAAGAAAATATGAAAACAAAAGCAAAAAGTTAGTTTTAGAAGTTTTTTAAAATTATTTTAGGTTAAGTTTGCTTGCAAAATTAGATAAATTAGATATTGGAACAAAAATTAAACACCAAAACCATAAGAACAGGGACCCAGGAAACATGGCACCGAATGATCAGGTCAATTTGGGAAGATATACATAGGCATGCAAAGCTTTTCAGATTACACATAAAAAAAAAAGCCTTTTTTATTCAGTTCTAAATGTTTCAGTACTTCCACTTTTATACATTTCATTTGTGAAATGTGATAAAATGTGAAAAACTTTAGGAAAAAGGATTGATTTGATGCATCCACAGATCAGGAGTGAACAGAGCACACACTTTTATCCTCTCGATGCGAGCCTCCCTCCTCAGCTGCTGCACCGTCCGCCTGGCCTGAGCAATGCTGCTGGAGCTCGGCGCTTTAGATGACATCTCCGCTTTCGGACAACTGCGCTTGAACCTGTGGAAGAGAGGGTTAGACCTGAGTTTAATTAGACAAAGGATACAGATGGTATTTACACAAGGTTAGCCGACAAAGCCGAAGCTGTTTAAACACTGATTGGCAGCAAGATGTTTCTGTGGGATTACAGAAACATCAAAGAGGTCAGGCTGCTGGTTAAAATGCAGTTGTGACTGGAGCCTCTTTATTAGAAAAAGCAGCAAGTAGGCCATTCAAATCAGAGTTGATATGTTATCAATGTTATCCGTTCACAAACAATCTCCTTCAGAAACCAAGGTCTTCGTCTTTACGTACATAGACCGCGGTTCCTCCCATGTGCAGGGTATCTGTACCAATAACTTAGTGTGTAGAGTTATGATATCAATCACTGGCATATTTTAGATAAAATAGAGCAGTTTGGAAGCAGCAACAATAAACAACATGCTAATAGCAGGAGATGTTCAGGGAATATTAATATTTCAAAACTATTGAATACTTCATAGTGCCAAAGGGAATATTTCTGCATTTATATACATATAGGAGTTTGGAGAGCTTGAAAAATTGACCTAAAGTTGTAAAGTGACTAAAAAATGGGTCAATTAGTTCATCTTTTAATATATATATATATTTTAAAACAGCATTAGTTTTGCATTGGGCAGATTCTCTAGTCCAGTCTGAGTGACTGTTATGGTGGTTTCCTGATTCTCCAAACCAAGGTCACATGACATCTACTACTGCACCGAAGAACTGCAAACAGACAGCAAAGCTAACAGAGCCCAAAGCTAGTGTGACACCCAGTGTTAAGCCTGGTTTATACTCTGCAAGGTCCCTGAGGTCCGTGCAGCCAAATGATGTCATTTTAGCAACCAAGCCCGTCCAAACAGCGCACCTAAAAACAGTCGTAAATACTTGGATATGGAGCTAAACCAGTGACAGCTGTAAAACATTGAAAAAATCAATGATGAAAATTCAAACGTTGCAAAAAAAGTGAAAAATTGCTATGACCACTCATTTTATGCTGCAGGTTATTATTTTTTTTAAAGAGAGATGGTTTCAGTGTTAAGCAGGCACTGTTTTGGCATTGGGGCGGTGCTAAACTGCATGCTCCTTCAGGGGCCGTCTGTTTTTCCTGGTACTCATCATCATCTATCTTTTTCTTTTTTTTTTCAATAGAGCATTATGATTTATTCTGCAGTTTTAAAATATCAACTATATCACAATAGCACATATATCATTTGACTGAAAGTGTACCAACAATACAGTTAAAGAGGTTGGAAGGGCACAGCGGTGTGAAAACAATGCCATCTGGAAATAAAATGAAAAAAAGAAATTATCTGACAGTTACTGCCAGCATATTGCCTTTAACGCATCAACATAGAGGAAAAGCTGCACATTGAATACTGAAGTCAAACCATTCAATATAAAACATAAAATA